AACAGCATAGAGGATCCTATGAATTGGAACCGAACAACAACATGAAGTTCCCAAGGCTATAAACGTTTACAGAAACAAACTGCCATATCTTTTTCCTAAGAAGAAGTTGCCCGATTATCTCAGTATTTCCACAAAATAGCACCTACATAAGAACATAGTGGTGTGTGGACAGAGAAGGTGGGAAATGAACTAAAACTTGAAGGCACTTAACAACAACTATTGTTAGGTAGTGTTGTTGTTGTTGTTGTTATGTGCCATGGAGTCGGTTCTGACCCATAGCAACCCTGCACAGTGTTTCCGAGGCTGTAAATCTTTACGGGAGCAGAAAGCCTCATCTTTCTCCCGTGGAGCAGCTGGTAGTTTTGAACCGCTGACGTTGCGGTTTGCAGCCCGATTCGTAACCACTACGCTACCAGAGCTCCTTGTTGTTAGTGCTGTCACTTTTGATTCTGACTCATAGTGACCCTGTATAGGTTTTCCAAGGAGCGACAGGAAAGTTTGAACCGCTGACCTTGGGGTTCAAACCGATTTGTGGTCCGTCCAGTGCTTATCCTACAGTACCACACAAGGCCAAAATGGAGAGCATGTAATCCAATTCTTTGGGAGAAGCTCCACATTTAGAAGGCCAGGTTTAAGCTCAGGATGTCTGTGATGCCCATCAGGAACGAATCTAGTTCTGTGTCCAGGTCAAAGAAGAAGGCATAGAATGGAAGTGATAGTCACACCTAGGGAAGATGCACGTAACTGCTGTCCAACTCCTTTAACTTACCACCGTGTGCCAAAAGGCAGGAAATGATGTCACTGATACAATAATCACTGTCCTCTGGTGTGAGCCAAGGGCCAAGACAGATCCCACTGCCACGCAATGCTTTACCAATGATTGTCTGTGTCTCCTATAGTTTCAGAATGAAAGACAAAGGCTGGGTGACAGGCCAGGAAGTTAGCCCCGGAAGTGACCATGAGCTATAAGTAAGTGGCTGCAGTAACAGTATGCTTACAACCAGCAAGAACAAAAGGGGGTGTTGGTTTATGAAGACAAACCCAAGATCAGGTGCAAAGACAGCTAAGGGAGTAGGGAGCGGAGCAGGCTGACCAGACTCGGGGAATTCCTTCTGGGTCAGTGTCCCACGCGCCCCCTGGCTCCCCCATCGAAAACTTGCTCTCCAAGCTATTAAACTCATCACTCCAGACACTCCATATATAACACCCCAATCACTATGATACAAATAGGGCTCGGTGTCTCCCAAATTGGTAAAATTACAATATAACTTCAATAGCCTTTGAATAATAACAAAATAATAACAATATAATAATAAAAAGTAGGTTAAGATGTCAGAACATTGACAATCTAAAAAAAATTAGCTATAACACATGAATCAGCAGGAAACACTGCACTTGGAATCTTAGTAAGAGATGTTCACATATGCAAGTAATCACCCCTCAAACTCTTTATAAATCACTACAAAAAACTGTATCACACTTGACAAGAA